TTTATTGTATGCTTCTGACTACAATTTAGCTTGCATATGTTTAAGGTATTTTAAAACATTTATTTATGGGGAGGGTGCAGCACACTGTGGTGTGTGTGTGTGTGTGTGTGTGTGTGTGTGTGTGGACAACTTGCAGGAGTCGGTTCTCTCTTTCCATCGGACGGGAATTCTGGAGATCAAACTCAGGTCCTTAGGCTTGCAGCAAATGCCTTTGGCCTCCGAGCCATGTTGCTTCGCTGTTCTGCCCACCCTGTTTTTCTCTTTGAGACAGGGCCTTACTTACTCTGTCACCTTGGCTGGCCTGGGAACTCTGTGGCCAGGTCTCAAACTCTTAGTGACCCTCCTACCTCAGTTTCCAGAAGACTAGGGTTACAGGTGTGAGCCACTGTGCTTGGCTTAAGATTTTCTTTTCTTTTAATGGTATTAAAACAAACAAACTATTCTGGCCCTTAAGGCTACTGATTTTCTGTTTTTCTTCTACAACAAAATTAAATAAAAATGATAATTTGAATATGCTACTTAAAACCATCTTACCAATTTTTTTTCCCTGAAAGTTAAGTCAGAGCAGAGGAGAAAATGAGTGACCAAAAGGTAATTTTAAAGAATATAACATCAGCTTCTTCCTCTTCCCCTGGCTCTTCCTCCCCATCCCCTTTTGGGAGACAGGGTCTCACTGTGTAACACTGGCTATCCTGAAACTCACTATGTAGACCAGGCCGAACTCGAACTCACAGAGATCCACCTGCCTCTGCCTCCCAAGTGCTGGGATCAAAGGCGTGTGCCACCACCGCCTGGCAACATCCATTCTTGAGAGTCGAGACTGGTGATGAACTTTGGTGTTTGAGAAGATGATTATTGTAATGCTTTGGATTATTTGTGGTGCTTGGACCCACTTTTTGTTCATACTGGGCATCAGGATACAAGCAAGTACGGTGCTTGTAGTAGTTAAATGTAAATGTTTTCTGTCATTAAAAAGACACACAAATATAGATGGTCCTTCCAAAGAACATGTTAGGAAGACAAGCTTATGCTTTTTTTCTACAGGCTCTTATGAGCATCAGAATGCTAAGTGCTCAGATAAAAAGGCATTTATCTTGTCCTATACAGAAAATATTTTTTACTTATGTATGACTAACATCTTTCTTCCATGCATTTGGCATCTCTTTTGATCAGAAAAGCATCATTCAACTTAATCAAATTACTGTTCTGCTCATGTATGCCCGAATAATTCCTATGTGGCCATGGCAGGTCCCTACAGTATACATCCTTTCCTGGAATACCTCTGCACAAGGAGAAAACACTGCTTGTAGATTTTTTTCTAACTAGATGTCTAATTAGAAAAATTCAAACATGCCTTCGGTAGAAATTGAACTTGGGTGCCTGAGCTGACAGGATCCTGAATTATGTGTTGGTGGTAGGTTATGACAAGGTGGTAGCTGGCCAGGGTTTTCATCTTGGCCTGGCTACTAGCCAAGCTCTAAGACCACAACTTCTCTGAACCTCGCTTTCCTCATTTGTCAGATGGGGACAATTATAGCTCCTACTTTATACAGTTGTGGGTATTAAGTGAGCTAAAACTCTTTAACACAGAGAACAATGGTGTAGTTATATTGAGCAATAAGCATGAGCTATTATTATTGGTGAGATCTGGAGGGCTATTTGATTAACGCCTTTGTTGTTAATCTTTGTATCTGTGGTGTTGGGGATTGAATCCAGGGCTTTCTGTATGGTACAGGAGTGCTCTACCAAGAAGCTACATCCTCATCCCATGATCCCATGTAAAGCCTTTAAAAAAACTAAATTATCTTTTCTTTGCAGGGGTGGGGGGTGGGGGGCAGGAGGGATCCTCACACAACAACCCAGGTTAGCCTGGAATTAACTAGGTAGTGCAGGTTGTTCATAAACTTGTGCACCCCTCCCTTGGTCCCCTTAGTACTAGGATTATATGCATGAGATACCATCTCAGCTCTGGACTTAACACATTATTTCTTTTCTCTGTTATTTAATAGGTATGTAACAGAAATAGGAATAGTAAGGTCTTACTATATATAGCCTTGGCTGGCCTGGAACTCCTTATGTAGACAGGGCTGGCCTTAAAGTCACAGAGATCTGCCTGCCTCTGCCTTCTGAGTACTGGGATTAAAGGTGTGCACCATCACACCCAGCTAAACGTCTTTGACTTTTTTTTTTAAACCTTTCTTCTGAAAAGAATTCCCCCTTCCCAATCCAACCAGAGCCCAGTTCACTGCTGGAAGATCCGAATGACCTCTGCTTCTGATAGGGCTCTTTCTACAAGGCTTCCGCTTCCGCTTTGCCAACTTTGCATATGACTTTCATGTACTTCATTTTACGTTTTAGCTCCATCATCCATAGTAGGCTTTACGGAAGCCAAGGGGTGACAAACTGCCATTTGCCACTTAAAACCTTGACTGAAGGCAACATTTTGAGATAGCAGGGACATCTTCTTTCTCACTACAGTCCAAAGACTCCTTCTGTCAGTCTACATCCTCTTGCAGTTTCAATCCATTAGGACAGCCTCTATTTTCTATTAAAAAATTGCTGAGAAAGCATGTCCAATACCACTTCAGAAACTGGTGAGTCACTTGCAACAAAAGCTGCTGGGGGTTATGTCCACGAAGACAGGTGACATTCAGAATGCACTCCAAAAGATTAAAGAAAAAAAAACAACAAACAGAACTTAAATCTCCCTATGTAGCTCAGGCTCCCCTGGAACTCAAGGCCTCCTCCTTCTGCCTCCTCAGTAATGGGGTTACAAGTTTTGCTACCACACCCCGTGGAATGATTATTTTTGTAAAATACTCAAATGGCTTCAGTGGTCTGAAAATACAGGCATTCACATACTAATTCTAAGACATAAAACAGTTTTCTTTTTTTTTTTTTCCAAATTGCCTTATCACCATATATTACTTTCAGAATTTGTGAGCACATGCTTTGTACCTAGCCCTGAGCCCTTTACATTAGCAAATAGGCACATGGGTGAGGTATTGTAATTACAGCACTCAGGAAAACCCAGGCAGGGGTACAGTGAATTTAAGGTCACCCTTGGCTCCACGAGACCCTGTCTCACTTAAAAAAAAAAAAATAGTAACAACAATGTGAATCCTATCTTTTTTTTTTTTTTTTTAACTTTTTTTATTTTGTGGGGAGACCTACAACGTGTATGGGGTAAAGTGGCACATGTGAGCGTTTGTTAACAGGTCAGAAATGGATGTCAGTCACTGAGGCATTTCTAGTCAACAATATAGATGCCATTCAACCCTTTGATGCATAGACTTGAGGGGCGCCAAGCTCCAAGAAAAAAACTGAAGATAACATACAGTTTTGTTCGTTTTTGGTGTTAACCTCCCCAAATCAGATCGGTGATTTCCCGAGTCAGAGGTTTACCTTGTAAACAATTTGTATCCCCTAAACCTAAATTAGAAGAGAAACGGCTCCCTAATGACCCTTTTCACCTCTACTTGCGTAAAAAAAAAAAAAAAATTCCTGGGTAAGATTTACATTCTTGGTTAGAAGCAAAGCAATGTTTAGAGAAGTGTTTGACATGTAATACTTTGGAGGCAGCTAACAGAAAATTGCCTCCAAGCACATCAACTACTTTACATTCATGAAATGTAGTTTAAGTTAAAAAAAAAAAAAAAGGAGAGAGAGAGAATTTCAGCTGGCCCTTTTGCTTTTCTAGCCCTAAAAAGCATTCTTCCCTAAATTCCTCTAAATTCCAGTAAGACCAAGCCCTGGCCTTTTACCTCAGGGGGCCACAGTACGGACACAAAAAAGGACAATGAGTGGCTGGAGGAAGCTCCACCTGTTGGCTAGTTGGCTGGCCGGGCGGGCTGGCTTCTTCCCTCCAGGTACCCAGAGGGACGACAGAAAGGACCACTCCCTCTTCAAAGAGCCTTCCCCCTGAAGGGGCTCGGAAGACTCCCGGCCAACAGCTGGAACATCTGCTAGCAGCCTCGCCCCTGCCCGTCGTAAAGGGCGAGGGACCGCGTGGCAGCCACCACCGCTCTGCACAAAAGGTATGTACCACCGGCGTGGGTAGAGAGCCAGTTCTGGGGTGGGGGGGATCCGCAGCCTGGGCATCCTCGCCCGGAAAGGGGCGAGGGCGGTGCGGGTCGAGGGTGGGGGGGGGGGGAGCCCAGGTGCGGCCGCGAGGAAGAGGAGGAGGAGGAGGAGGAGGGCTCCGCCACATGCCGAGGAAGAAAGCCTGACTCATGTCGTGGCAGCAGCGGCGGAGGGCTCCTGGGAACTGCAACTCGTGATGCTGTTGCCGAGGAGAAAAGCCTCATTACCCATTCCGCAGGCCGGGGAGGGGAAGAGGGGGGATACCGCCCCGGGGTGGGGGGCGCCCACACCCGGAGACCTAGCGCTCCCCACCCGCCTGCTCGCCCGCCCGCCCTCCCGGGGCCGCGTGGGAGACAGCCGCGGGCACGCCTAGCCCGCGCGCCCGCGCGCGCCGCGTGGCCCACCCCCCCCCCACGCCCCACCCCAGGCTCTCCACGCGACCCGGATTCGCTCGCGCGCGCGCGCGCGCCCCCCGGCGCCCTCCTCCTCCCCCCCCCCCGTCCCCCCCCCGCCCTCCGGCGTCGGCGGCTCCGCCGGCCTTCGGCCATTTCCGTCGAGACGGGGAGTCGGGAGCTCGGCTCTCAGCCCGAAGACAGGCCGCCTCCCCTCGTCTCAGACCCGGCTTTATGTCTGCAGCGCCGGCGCGCACGCGCAGACGCCATCTTCCCTCCTCTCCTCCGCGACCCCTCCCCCCCGCCGCCTTCTTCTCCTCCTCCTCCTCCTCGGTCGGCGCTCGGCCCTCCTCCTCCTTTCGCGTTGGGGCGCTGGTCCCTCCTCCCTGGATGCCGCGAGAGACCAGGGGGGGAGATACAGAGCAGCCCGAGAGGAGCACTAGTAACAACCACCACAGCCCCCTCCTCGCCCGACGCCCTCCCACTCCCCCGCCCCGCGCCGCCGCCGCCACCGACCAACCCCACCTCTCATTTCTTTGAACGGCGTCGGCCGCAGTCGCTGCACCAGCCCCGTCTGGCCGCCGCCGCGAAAGGAGCCACCGCCGCCCGCGGCCCCCTCCCTCCTCCCCTCCCCTCCCTCCCTCCCTCCCGGCCGGCCGCGGGAGCAGCACGGTGCCGCCGAGGCAGCCGGCGGGCGGAGAAGAGGACGCGAGCTCGCCCCTCCGCTCCCGCGCACGTCCCGCCGCCCGGCGGAGCAGCCCGGGCGCCGGCGCCCTTCCTCCCCCAGGACGTGTGCCGAGCCGAGCGCCTGCCCCGAGGGAGGAAAATGCTCGGGCTCCATGGCTGCCAGTGATGGAGCGGTCCCTGGGCTCCCGCTGCCGCCGCCACCGCCACCGCCACCACCACCGCCGCCGCCGCCGCGCCCCGGCCGCGCTCCGCGAGGACCCGGCGTCTCTGCGCGCCCGCCCGCGCCTCGTTGCTGGGCTCACCGTACCGGGCGCCCCGCCGCCGCCGCCGCCGCCACCGTCGCCGCCGCCGCCGCCTCCTCCTCCTCCTCCTCCCCGCTCGCAGCCGCGCCGCCCGGGTCCCAGCCGCGGCCAGTCTTTCCTCCCGGAGCAGCCGTCGCGAGCCCAGGGGGTTTGAGAGGGGCCGCGGGCCGTGGGGGGAGGCCCGAGCGGGGCCGGCCGCGCCGGCAGGGGAGGTTGGAGCGACGCTGAGCTCGGGGCTCGCCGGCGGCCGCGGCGCCGGGGGTGGCGAGGGCCGGGCGACCGCTCGCTCCGCGCTGCCTCGGTCGGTGCAGGGCGAGCGGCGGGGCTTTGCAGTGGCCGCCGCCGCCGCCGCCGCGGGAGGAGGGGGCTGAGCTGGCTCCGGAGTTGGCCAAAGAAGGTGGGCATTTCTCGCTTCTCCTCGCCTCCCCCGCCCCCTCCTGGGCTCCCCTCCCTCCCGCCCCGCACCCCACGTGAAGCGGAATATAAAGGGGGGTGTGTGACTGGAGGGGAAAGTGAATGGCGAAGGACTGAAGGGGTCCCCCTTCGGTTCCCCAGCCACCTGGTTCACCCGGTTCATCCTCCCTTCCCGAAGCTAGCCCTCGAAGGCAGGAGCAGCCGGCGCCTTCGGCAGAGGAGGAGGAGGAATCGCGTCGGGCGGAGCTTCAGGTCCTGTTCTCCTCTCCGGCTTCTCCATACAAAGATTACGGTGCAGAAGGAAATTGCACTCGCCTCCTCCGCCCCCCCGGTACCCAGCACAATGCACCAGCCGCCGGAGTCCACTGCCGCGGCGGCCGCCGCTGCAGACATTAGTGCTAGGAAGATGGCGCACCCGGCAATGTTCCCTCGAAGGGGCAGCGGTGGTGGCAGCGCCTCTGCTCTCAATGCAGCAGGTACCGGCGTCAGTGGTGCTGCTCCATCTTCTGAGGATTTTCCTCCTCCTTCGCTGCTCCAGCCGCCGCCTCCTGCTGCATCTTCCACGCAGGGACCACAGCCTCCGCCTCCACAAAGCCTGAACCTCCTCTCGCAGGCTCAGCTGCAGGCACAGCCTCTCGCGCCGGGCGGAACTCAGATGAAAAAGAAAAGTGGCTTCCAGATAACTAGCGTTACTCCGGCTCAGATCTCTGCCAGCATCAGCTCTAACAACAGCATAGCAGAGGACACGGAGAGCTACGACGATCTGGATGAGTCTCACACGGAAGACCTGTCTTCTTCCGAGATCCTTGATGTGTCACTTTCCAGGGCCACTGACTTAGGTGAGCCTGAACGCAGCTCCTCAGAAGAGACTCTGAATAACTTCCAGGAAGCTGAGACACCTGGGGCAGTCTCTCCTAACCAGCCCCACCTTCCTCAGCCTCATCTGCCTCACCTCCCACAACAGAACGTTGTGATCAATGGAAATGCTCATCCACACCACCTCCATCACCACCATCACATTCATCATGGGCACCACCTCCACCATGGACACCATCACTCATCCCATGCTGCTGTGGCCAGTTCATCCATTCCTGGAGGGCCACCCTCGAGCCCAGTGTCCAGAAAACTCTCTACAACTGGAAGTTCTGATGGTGGGGTGCCAGCCGCACCGACTTCTGCTGTCTCATCGAGTGGCCTGCCTGCCTCTGTGATGACTAACATCCGTGCTCCAAGTACTACAGGCAGCATAGGTATAAGTTCTGTTACGGGCCCGAGTGCAACGAATAATGTGAACGTCGCTGCCGTGGGTGGTTTCGGTCCTACCGTGACAAGCAGTGTGCATGGTAGTGCTAAGATAAGTACAAGCAATATTCCTAATGCTGCTAGTGTAAGTGTCGGGCCTGGAGTTACCAGTGGTGTTAATGTGAATGTCTTGAGTGGCATGGGCAATGGTACTGTTTCTTCCTCTCCTGTTGCTAACAGTGTCCTTAATGCAGCTGCAGGTATCCCTGTGGGAGTGGTTTCAAGTCAGCAGCAGCAGCAGCAGCAGCAGCAGCAGCCAACAGTTAACACGTCAAGGTTCAGAGTTGTGAAGTTAGACTCCACTTCCGAGCCCTTTAAAAAAGGTAGATGGACTTGCACTGAGTTCTACGAAAAGGAAAATGCCCCGCCTGCCGCAGAAGGCGTGGCGGTAAATAAAGCGGTGGAGACCGTGAAGCAGACCCCCACGGAAGTGTCTTCGGAGAGGGAGAGCACGAGTGGGAGTTCAGTGAGCAGTAGCGTCAGCACACTGAGCCACTACACGGAGAGTGTGGGAAGTGGGGAGATGGGAGCCCCTACCGTGGTGCAGCAGCAGCAGCAGCAGCAGCCGCCGCTGCCGCCGCCACCAGGTCTTCAAGGTGTGGCCCTCCAGCAGATAGATTTCGGTAGCCCTGGTCCACAGAGTATTGCAGCAGTGAGTATACCACAGAGTATTTCTCAGTCGCAGATGTCACAAGTCCAATTACAGCCTCAAGAACTGAGCTTTCAGCAAAAGCAAGGTCTTCAACCTGTACCTCTGCAAGCCACAATGAGTGCAGCCACGGTTCTCCAGCCTTCCTCTGTAAACGTGGTCGGTGTAACGTCAGCCGTGGGTCAGCAGCCTTCCATTTCCAGTCTGGCTCAGCCCCAACTGCCGTATTCTCAGACAGCTCCTGCCGTGCAAACTCCTCTTCCAGGGGCACCACCCCAGCAGTTACAATATGGGCAGCAGCAGCCAATGGTTTCTACACAGATAGCTCCAGGCCATGGCCAGTCAATGACTCAGAATCCTGCTTCCGAGTATGTACAGCAGCAGCCAATTCTTCAAGCATCCGTGTCCTCTGGACAGTCCAGTTCTGCAGGAACGGGAGCAGGACCCTCAGGGATCCCTGTGCCTCAGCCACAGGGGATCCAGCTGCCAGTGCAGCCCACAGCAGTCCAAGCACAACCTGCAGGGGCATCAGGGCAGCCCATTGGCCAGGCTCAAACAGCAGCGTCTGCTCTACCAGCTGGCAGTCAAATGGCGAATATTGGTCCACAAGCAAACATGCCCACTGCGGTACAGCAGCCATCTACCCAAGTTACACCTTCAGTTATCCCGCAAGGTGCTCCGCCATCTTCACAAGGAGTTCTCCCCGCTCCAACTGGGATTCTTCATCAGGGAGTTCAAACTAGTGCTTCGAGCCTTCCTCAACAATTGGTTATCGCACCCCAGAGTACCTTGTTAACTGGGCCTCCCCAGCCGCAGGGAGTAGAAACGGTGGTTCAAGGAGTGGTTAGCCACCAGTTGCCCGCAGGTAGTCCTCTGCCCCCTGCTAGTAGTCTTTCTGTTACCAGTCAGGTTAGTTCCGCTGGCCCTTCTGGAATGCCTTCTGCCCCAACAAACTTAGTTCCACCACAGAATATAGCACAACCCCCGGCTACCCAAAATGGCAGTGTGGTTCAGAGCGCTAGTCAGTCTCCCTTGATAGCCACTAACATCAGTTTGCCTTTGGCACAACAGATACCACTAAGTTCTGCTCAGTTCTCCACACAGTCCTTAGCCCAGGCCATTGGAAGCCAGATGGAAGATGCCAGGCGCCCAGCGGAGCCCTCCGTAGTCGGCTTACCTCAGACGCTGAGTGGGGACAGTGGGGGAGTGTCAGCAGTTTCAGATGGGAGTAGCAGCAGCCTCGCAGCCTCTGCTTCTCTCTTCCCGTTGAAGGTGCTACCGCTGACAACACCCCTGGTGGATGGCGAGGACGAGAGGTAAGAAAGAGCCCGAGCTCCCGCAGGCACGGAGCAGGTCCAGGGGACCCCGCTCGTGGCGGTGGGTGCGGGTACAGTTAGGCTAAAGCGGCAGCGTACCTTTGCTTTTGCATGTGCAAAGTGCACATGCATGGTAAGTTTCCCCGGAGTGAGAGTGATCATGATTTCAGAGTGGGTGGGAAGCGGAACAGGTTATAAAATAATGTTCACGGTAGTTAGAAAGTGTAAGTGTATCTTACCCTACAAATAGGCTTGGGGCTACCAGATAGACTTCATTGTTTATAAAATGCTTTCGAGAAAGATAATTTATGATGAAAGGCAGCTTATATTTTGTTACCCCATGAAAGAGTTAAGCTAGTCTTTTGAGCTACTAAAATCTTTATGCTCATTTCTTGTCGGGGGCTGTGGTTCCCACGTTCTTGCCATACAGCCCTTTTCTGTTCTAGTATGTTTGATCTTAGGCTGTGAAAGATAGTGTTACCTGCTTGTCCTCCCAAGGCACTGTGGGAAAGATGACCTAATCTGGGTGGTATAGGTTGCCCTCATACTGTTAGTAACCAGCTTTTGTAAACTTAATTTAATGGTTACTTTACCTGAACAAAAGAGGAATACAAGTCTTAGATCGTGTTTTTCAAGGGCAAAATACCTAGATTTATCCTTGGCAGTAAGTAATGCTGTACAGTTTTTCTTTTGATAGATGAAGGTGGTAGCCATTTTAAACAGTGAAATCAGTCAGCCTTTAAGGGCTGATTTTAACAGGCTAATCTGTCCCACCTGTTTCTACTCTCACCAAAATAGAGAAAGTCTAAAAGTTAAGTCAGTATTAAGCCAGCATTTTCTTTTTCACTTATATTGGAAATAATATGCTAACCACACTTAGTGAATGAGACCGGCTAGAAAAGCTGTGAACTCATGTTTCTACATTGCTTTAAGATTAATTTTTTTTAAGGAATGTTCTTTTTGCAAGATTACCACTATTTACAGTGATCAGAACTATAGTCGTTGTAAAAAGACTTCTTTTTCATTGTGGAATTTTGAAAAGGCATTTAAGATAGTTAATTATTTTAGTATCAGTTGGAGACTTTTTACATTGAATTTCCACCATTCCAATGGAAGTGTTTATACTCTATATGTGTATTTGTGGGTTTACTTTGGAAAAACGGAGCATGTTGCAAAAGAATTTTATAGAAAGAAAAGTCCAAATGTTTCAGTGAAATTTTCATGATATTTTTCTAAGTCATTTAAAAGATATAAAGGTTATGATATTGAAACAAGTAAAATACTTTTTCAGGTTTCTTTGTTTTTCTGATACCCATATATTTAAATTTTGTTACTAAATGTAGTTTTTAATCTTGTACAAAACTATTTCACAAGATTTCTAAGAGGTAGTTTCTGTAGTAGTCCAATTATAATTATTGTTCAACCTTTAATTTTGTCTTTATCATTCTGATCCTCACCTGTAATTGCAGTTTAAGGAATTATTTACTCTAATTTTTGTTTCCTAAATCAAAAGGGTCTGAACCAAGTGAAGTAGTTCCTGTTAAAGTAAGTGTATAGATAGATACTAACTTTAGAGCAGTGGAAGGCAGGTGACAGAGAGAAATGGAAATCACACACTGATTACAAACCTGTGAAGGTTTTTTAATTACTGTTTGTGGGCTCCTGGGAGGACCTCCTTTGTTTTCCTCTTGGTAGGGAGAATGGCAGGCCTTTCAGAGACTTGCTGTCACCCAGTTAAGTCAGGATGCTGCACACTAGTTTGGATCTGTAGAGCGAGTTCCAGTTTGAGATAACTGTAGAGCTATTTTCCATATAGACCGAGAGTAACTGGGATAAAGGTAGGTCAGACGCCTGCAATGGAGAGCTATGTTCTGGAAAAGCACAAGACCGAATGTAAAGTAGTTGTCTCCAGTAACTGTCATAAGTTATCTGCAGATTGTGTTTGAACTTTACAAACTTGTGTTAATTGACCTCACAGTTGAGTCATCGAAACTGGACACACTTTTTCCCAGGCCTCCTTCAAGTTCACTGAGGCCTGAGTCTGCTCCTGAGGCACATGCAAGACCAACCAGCGAGGTCTACTTTAATCGTGTCTTACTGCAGATTGTTTTTTTGTTTTTATTTTCCTTTTAATCTCAGTGTAGTTGGTTTAGAAAAATCATTGAAATTTGCCCTTGGGAGCTAATTGGGAAATACCTACAAGAGAACAAAGTGAAACAAAGAAGTACCACTGTTTGACCTTTCTTCCTTGCCAGCCTCTGTGACACTTGGGTCTTCCAGACTTTGTCACCATCCATCTCCTTTGGAAGAAAGGGTTGTGCCCTCATTTAGTTTCATGACCCAGGAAGTATGTTAACAGAACATTTTTGGTGGCAGAAGAAGGCAGAGAGATTGCCTTGCATGTGTAGTGTGATACTACTGTAGCTCTTTAAATGATTACTTAGTACCCGGGGAAAGTGCTGTCAGTTACCAACCATTTGTCACCTGTGAAACTTGGGGACCATAAACATCACAAATAAGGATCGGGGTGTTAAGGTCATGTGACTTAGTTTTTTAAAGATCTCAATGTCTGCTCCTTTAATGTGAACTTAACCTTTACAGGAATGGGAACATACAGTGACTTTACTATAGTGTTTCGTGCTTGTTAGCAAAGTATTATGTGAAATTCTGCTCTCTTGTTTCTAAGCAAAGCTCAGATGTTCCCTCTGAAAGAGTTTTCTTCCCTAGGGGGTGTTTCCTTAACACGTTTGACTGTCCCTCTATTTAAGTACTGTATTTGGTGATAATTATGTTTACCAGTCTTTCCCACAAGGGGAGGGACTAAATTTTTTTTTTTTAATTAACAAACTTAGTGAGCAGATCTTTTTCTGTTTTTCTTATTATGACCCAGTCCTTTCTGTCATCTTAAGCACCCTGTTAGAAATGCAGGTGCTATAATTTATGTAATGAATTGAAATGAGCAATACGACTTTGCTAGCCTCCTGCTCCTTAAGGTGGCATGGCATTAACCTTCTAAAGGCTGTCTGTTTTGTAGTAGGTCCTCAAGTATTATACAGGAATGGGTGTTTTCTGTTTTCATGTTTGTTTTTGTGTGTTGCATGTGTGCCTGTGAACATGGAAGTCAGAGGTCAACTTCACGTGTCTCCCTCAGTTGTGTCCACCTTATTTTTTGAGGCGGGGTCTCTCACTGAATTGGAGCTCACTCTGGTGGTTGGACTGGATAGCTAGTGCGCCTCAGGGATGCACCTCTCTCCACTTCCCCAGTGCTGAGACTTTTATGTGGGTTCTAGGGTTCACGTGCTATGTCCACGGAGCAAGCACTTCACGAGTGAGCCGTCTCCCCAGCCTGGAAATGAGTGTTTTCTTACAAAGAAAGGAACAATACCTGCTTTACTTACCTACTGAGAACGGTAGGATGTATTGGTTAAAATGATGCAAGATACCAAATGCCTTTTAAAAGGTTTTTGTTTTGAGACAGGGTCTCACTGTGTAGCCCTGGCTGGCCTTGAACTCGGACATCAGCCTGCTTCTGCCTTCTGACTCCTGGGGCTAGAGGTGTGCACCATCACCCTTGACCTGAAGTATTTATTTTTTGCATGCACAATTTAAAGAATCAAAGTCTATACTTGCTGCCTTCTTCCTCTCCAGGTTTCCTTTCTAGAATCCCTCTGATTTCTTGTAGAGGATTCCTCTTTGACAAGCCAGTCTTTCTACTAGACAGGCACCTGTGTGCCTGTCAGGAGCGACTTTGAAGGCGCACTGCTCAGCTTCTCTTTTCTCTGTCCTCTGCTTCTTTTGTGACTTTGGGCTTTTTAATTTACTTATGCCTCAGTTTCCTCATTTGAAAACAATCAAGGCGATAGCATTTCTCACAGAATTGTTACATAAATGAACTTAGAAAACTCTCAGAATGTACCTTGTTGCTCTTAAGAGTTCATTAAATAAAACAATCCTCACTTTGTTTTTGTTTGTGTTGTTAAATTTCTTAGATAAAATGGATCTGCCCTGCTGGTTGCCCTTGTTCCGATACTCCTTTCTCCCAGTAGTTATGATGATAATATTCTTTAAACCCTGTAAAAGAGCATTCCTTTTTCTGTCCACCCACAGTACAGTGTCCGCTGACTGCCTTGCTCCTCTGTCCCCAGCTGTTTAGTAGATTGGACGGGGTGAGTCCCCTCTCAGAATTCCTTTATCAGCTCAGTCTCTTTTCTCCAGCTTACCTGTCTGGGTCCCCCCACCTTGATAAGAGTCCTTCCTCAGCTCTGGGGATTTCGAGGTTCTGTGCTTGCACTTCAGTGCAAAAGGACTAGAGAGCCACTTAGAACATTGGGGTTCCTCAGTATGGAACTTGGCTTGGGGTGTGGCAGCTGGAGTTTATTGTCCCTACCTCACCCTGTATTTGGGTTCCTCTCCATTTATCACTAATTTTCTGTATCCCGCCTCTCAGCATCCACCTCGGTATTAATTAATTAATAAGATTCATTTCTGAGGAAGCTGCTATCACTCTGGCCTCTATTCTGGACGACTCCTAGACTTGCTCCTCACCTCTTACTCTAGGATTGATCCCCTTTTCGTCTTCTCCAGTGGTATGTCTTCATTTTCCACGGCCAGTGTTGACTCCGTTCTTGATTTACTTGCTATTTCTAAATGGTGTCGACTTACCTTTACACTCAGTTGATTCTCTGATGCGGTAAAGGACACCGGGTTGTAAAAATCATGTGCTCTTGCAACTCTACCGACACCATTTCCTAGCTTCCATACCGCTGCTGAGAATTCTCGAGTCGTTTGGGTTTCTGAAGCTCTGTGTGATTTGTATTTGCTGTCCTTCTCTTTTCTTTCCCCATTTTTAAAATCCATGAAAGCTTTTAAGATTTGCTCCCATTGTTTTAACTTAACACGGATTGCGCGCGCGTGTGTGGTTGGGGGAGGGTGAGGGGTGGAATCTGCTTTTATTCATGAGTTTTTGGCGTATGCTGTTTCAGCCCGGAAAGTGTGCGATG